TCTCTGGAAAGGACGGCGGCAGCCAAATCGAGCGCTTGCTATGCCCTATCTCAGCCATGATTCCGGGAATAGCGATTGACGGGAGATTGATGGGAAGGCGTCCAGTCTGCTTGTTGGACCTTGATTGAAGGAAACGTATGTAATAGGCTTCTACTGTGCAACAGTGGTGTATCACTGGCAAGACAGAAACACTTGCTATCTGAAAAAAGGGGGCTGTCAAACACATAGAGCGAGCACCATTGTACCATTCCCATATTGAGACAAACATCTACCGGGTGACTAGGCTACTGGCGCCTCTGCAAACCACGAAGAGTAAGACTGACTTCTGCAATGTGTTCGACAAAAGAGGCTTTGCGAAGGCTTCTGCGAAGCTTCTGCAAAGCTTTGAGGAAGTCGTTGGAGAACTTGCCACAGTCTTCGTCGACTTCGCCATGAAGTCCAGGCATTCACAGATGAAGTTCTGCTTCTATGGACAGTTTGTGTGAATATACCGTCTTATTGGCCTATAGGTATACCGGGGTGCAAAGAAGGCCGATGGCTTTCACGCTTTTCTGAAACAAATTGCCCTTGAATCGACGGCGTCATGCGCCTTGCTCCTAAAAGGGCCCTGATTCTAGCCACTCCCCAGTTGAGTGTGTTTTGCCATCGCAACCAGCAGTCCCTGTCTCTGGATGGCCCCCAAGCGTCGATATGCCGTTCGCGATGTGGGGGGTCCGGGTCTCCCGATAAGGAATCGGAGCCAAAGCCAAACATGTGGGGTTCCTTTCGTCTCTCTTTGAGACCAAGAACGGGTCCCCCTAAAGACACAATGTGTTGTATTGTATGTCAAGGGCAGCAGCGTTGATGACCAAGCGTAATTCATCTAGAACACCAACATATGGCCCTTTGCGATGCGCGAGGTAGTGACAAAGTGTGCCATCCCTATCTTCAAGGGAGTCCCTTGCGCATCATAGAAACAAGCAACTTGACTCAGAATTGAGTATTGAACAAAACAATTTTCAAAAGTGCCGAACAAAATGCGCGGCAGACAAAACCATGGAACTTCACAATGGTTTATGCCTCCCCTCCAAAACAAATCCACCCCTCAGACCCTCACAGCCGTGCCGCACCTTGACCCAGGGAGTGCGTGATCATCGCCGCAAGCAGCGCCAAAGACGCATACCGCCATGCCATTGTCCGTGAGAGCCACATGCGGAGACGGCGCTAAGCCCTAAGAAAAACTCAAAGGTTTCAGCTGGGATTAAACGTGGCTCAAGCTTTTCGGGAAATGTAAACGCGTTTGCTTGTTTGTCTGTTTGTATTGCTTATTTCTTGTGTCCCTGAAGCCCGGCAAGCCTGTTGGCTATTGTCTTAGTTGCTGAAAGGGCTGAACCTGGCCCAACCCGACACTTTCCGCAACTCGGACTCGAGGGCGGCTGGCCGCTGAATTCGTTCAGTACCTCACAGAGAGCGATCTGCTTTGTCAGCGGAAAAATGTCAGGCACCATATGCGAGCTATAAGCCACGTTTAAACATGTTTAGACTCCTTAGACTCAAACGAGGACAAAACTGAATCTCTCAACCAACACCAACCTTCACTTCGGCAACGGAACCATGCGTTTATTGCCTAACCAGATTTCTGCTGTTTCATATCGCTGTGTGAATGCCATAAGGTATGACACCTTTAGCCAACTCACGCAAACCCTGCCAAGCGAATCTCAAGAGGTCAGCCCCAGAAGCCATCTGCCACGATCATCCACGATCCGTCACTTTGCCGAATCAAACTAGTTGGTGGGTTTGCACTTGTGCGTCTCTCCAACCCAGCACTTTCTGGGGCTTGGCAAGCATTACAACATATTGTGTATCTTCGCTCATTGCGGTCCTCACTCTGAGTAGGCCGGCTTACAAACAAGGTCGTCTATGGCCAAAAGCCTTCGAGCCGAGCCCCGTAGCCAGCATGAACAGTTGAGTAGCGTCACGAGCAAACTCCGATGTCTTGCTTTCATGTGGAGTGTCGCTTGAGAATTTGGTCCTGTGGCGGATCCACAGGTGTTGTATCCAACTCCTCTACTTGCCCTGTTCTTTGGGAACACAAGGGCCCCGAAGTGTGATCCATGCTTAGTGAAGGAAGCACTTGGACAAACAAGGAACCAAGGGTGGAATGCAGAAAACCAGGGAACGCCGTTAACGCTATTTGACGGATGAACGCGGTTTAAATCCGAAAAGCACATCAGGCGAAGTCTTGGAGCCACACTCCACTTACATCTAAGCCTTTGGTTGAAGGAAATCTTCAGGAGATTCCAAAGCCTATGGTGACACCATGTTTATGGCTTTCCTCACTTCCTGAGTGGGGCCAAACAAAGTCACCGAACCGTTTATTTACCATGAAGACGATCCAAGCCCAAAGAGTGACTACACTCCGAAACGGAACTCGATCGGGAGTGAGTACCATTGAAACATCTGGGGTTCTGAAATTAATGGGTTCAATCTCCATGTACTTGGGCTCATTCCCCAACCTGGTGGCTCCAAAAGCTCCTTTTCTCTATGGCTGTCCCCTGGAAACGCCATGTGGTTTCTCACCAAAACTGAAGAATTTCTCAGGCCGGCGCCGGACGGCGCGAAACGGCGGAGCAGTCGTCGACCGCCAGCCCGGGCGTTGTGCTTCCAGGCTGTGGGCCAAGAATTCGGCCGCGAAACTGGGCGGTCCAAGCAATACGAAGGCCGTGTCCGAGGAACTGGGTGAATGCAAAGCCCAAGAATCCCAAGAACTTACAGGCGAGGAAACCTAAATCCGGAGTTAGGTGCTGGCCAGTTCAAGTCTTCCTTCTGACTGGACAGGATTGATCTCCGGAATACGCGACCTAAAGGCGGTACGTCTTTCGTTCAAGGGTGAACTACTGATCTTTGCCACCATGAACCCGCTATCGGTCAGAAGGGTCCGTGCTCGCATGCTGAGGCCTTGCTCGGTGATGTCACCCCGGTGGCTGAATCCAAAGCCGAACAGGCGAAAAACCAGGCAGGCCCTTGGCAACTTGCAACAGTCCCAAGCAAAGCCTAGAGAAATGGATGTGTGAAATGGACCCAACGAAACCTGGTAAATTTGATGCTGGCTTCTGCTTGAATACAATCCTGAAAAAGATGCTTGAATTGTAGACTTGTTTGTATGCTTTAGCAGTCCATGGCATTGGCAAATGCTCGGACCTGAACTTTGTCGCGTCTATCAACGCCGGGACACCTGGTCAAACATGATGCAACTATCGACCCAGATAAGAATCATTTGAGAGGCTCAGAGACATAGAGACATGCATAGACTCTTGGGGCTCAGGTGCATGTTACTAGACATATTGTCTCGCACATCCTGACTTATCGTCCGAGCATTTGCCGTTGCTTTCCTTTCAACAACAGGGAAAGCACTGACACATTGTACACACCGGTCCGCCCACAGGGCCTCTCCTTGGGATTTCGTTTGATGCCTTCATCGTATTCGGCCTTGGCCTCTGCGTACTTCTTCTCCTGTCGAAGCTCGTCGCGGCGTCTGGAAAGACAGTTTGCACAAGCATACGCATGTGTATGTTGAACAACACACAAAACAAAAAACGTAACACACACAGACATCGCACAATCACACAAACAAATAAACAAACAAACAAACAAAATACATCAAACAAAACCAACCAACCAACCAAACAAACAAACAAACAAAACCAAACCAAACCAAACCAAGCCAAACCAAGCAAGCAAGCAAGCAAACACACAAACAAACAAGCAAGCAGCAAACAAACAACAAATACACAAACAAGCAAGCAAACACGTACGAAAGCAAACAAGCAAGCAAGCAAACAAACAAACCAACAAACAAACCAACCAACCAACCGAATACATGCAAACAACTTCAAACCAAGCCAATACACAAACAATCAAAGCCAAATCAAAAGGACACCAAAACACCAAATAAAACAATTTAAGCCAATCCGAATCCAAACACAGAAAACAAAACAACAACCAATCAACACACCCAACAAACAGAAAGTGCACACCAAATAAGCAAGCAAGCAAGAAGGCAAGCCAGCAAGCGAGCAAGCAAGAAAGCAAGCTAGCAAGCAAACAAGCTACAAACAAACGACAAACAAACAAAGACCAAGAACAACACAACACAACACAGGACAGCGCAAAACGCAACACACCTCGCAAACCAAGCAAGCAAGCACGCACGCAAGCAAGCACGCAAGCAAGGAAACAAACACACAAACAAACAGTCAAACAAACGAAGCGCAGTACAACATGGCATAACAGAACAACGCCAACATAGAACGCACGCAAGCGCACACGCACACGCACACGCACACGCACACGCACACGCACACGCACACGCGCACACGCACACACACACACACACACACACACACACACACACACACACACACACACACACACACACACACACACACACACACACACGCAAACGCAAACGCAAACGCAAACGCAAACGCAAACGCAAACGCAAACGCACGCGCACGCGCACGCACCCACGCACCCACGCACCCACGCACCCACGGACCCACGCACCCACGCACCCACGCACCCACGCACGCACGCACGCACGCACCCACACACACATGCACACACTTACACACACACACATATGCAAAAAAAAAAAAAAAACACGCACACACACAAAGCCACACGAACAAACGCACGGAGACACCCCCACACACTCAGAGACATCTGACTTGCACGCTTTAACCAACCCACACACACAAACACATGGCTACTCCGTCATACCCAGACAAATAAACTGGGCAAAACCCTTCTCGTGCTGGCTCTTTTGACCTCTGCTGTTTTCCGAGGCGTGCTTTGCCGCCTGCTGCGAGCTGTCGGCCAATTGCTCTGACTCAAGGCGCGACCTCCGCGCGCAGAGCTCTGCGTCATTCGTGCGGTCAGCCTGACAAAGCCCACGTCGGCCATCTTGCTGGCCCTCCATTGTCCACAGTTGGGATTCTTCACTGGCGCAGTCGCTGGTGTCAGTCTGTGCGTTCTTCCTTGCCTTTCGCGTCTCGCGACAGCGGCACAGCTGGCAAAAGCATGGAAGAGACGAAGAGCTGATGCGGAGGCTGCGGAGGAAGAGAGAAGCAGCAGTCGAAGTTGCTCAACAATGTGAACATCAGCCTCAAAGCTGCGCCGCGACATGCTGGGTTGGGGGGGCCTTCCAAACCCACGGAGAGTACCTCATGCATCTAGCTTGTAGACTTGTGGACTTGTGGATTGATAAAAACAAAAAGGCACACGCAAAAGAACGCCACCATTCCAGCGGATGCGTTGCCAAACCAACCTCACAATGCCCGGTACTCCCACCCCGGAAACTCTGCTGGCTGCTCCTTGATATGGATTGAAGATTCACCCAGAAAGGAATCTCTCAAACACATTCGACACGTACCCCCTTTTGGAAGGGTCTCAATCCCTCAGGGACCTTTGCCAGGGTCTCAAAGCCTGCAAGGACCCTCAACCAACTTTGCCACAATTGAAATTGTAAGGCTGGCCCTTTTTCCGTCGGCTCCAAGTGCTTCTAGTCTCAGAGCCCTCCGAAAACCAAACCCCAAACCGCCCACCAACCGAAAAACCAAAGCGGCGCTCAACCGGGCGAGCGGCGCCGCGTGGAACCACAGCACGCAGCACAGCAGCAGCCAGCGGGGGCCGTTGGGCCAGCAGAAGGCGTAGACCGCGGCGCCCAGGTTCACCAGCCCCACAGCCCGAGGGAAGATCCACCGGCTCTGCTGGCCTCAGACCAGTGGGGGGAACCAATAAGCACCGGGGCAAACAAAAGGGTGAAGAAAAAAACCCAGGGAAAAACATAGGCTAAGAAAAGCCACCGGGAAACAAAGAATTGGGCTAGGACAAAAAAAACAACCCAAAGGAATGGAATTCAGAAGTTGAGAAGGGGGATTGCCGTTAGACATGTGCCTGACACTGATTCAGAGTCGACTCGCAAGAGCCATTGCTTAGTAGTGACCAAAGGATTGGCTTGTCTCCAACCCTCTCTTGGTTCCCGGAAAACAAACAACCCAAAGGGTCTCTTATGTTGCGACACGGCCATGTTGGAATCCCCGGCTCAACATGCTAACCAAGTTCAAGTGCCCATTGAGCGATTTGAGTTTTGAGCACTTATGTCGAGTAGACGACACAGTCATGATAGGGTTATCTGAGGGGCATGGGACAATAAGGAAACCACGTCGCAAAACAAAAACGTGTTTTGTCCATTTCTGTCCCAACAAAGGTATGCTGATGCTGGCATGATGCCCCCCCCTTTGAAAAGGAAAAAGCAGTCCACCCTGTGTTTGCAACGCAACAGCAGAGAAGCTTGTTCCACAAATGCGATCATCTGGCTCGAATGGTTAGTCTGGTCAGCAGCCAACGAATGACCAGCCAGCCAAATGCCAAATGCAGGCAAGCTTGGTCAAAATTCAGAAACTGGATCTAAGTCCACGAAACAACTAACACCTGCGACGAACAAATGAACCTTTCGGGGACACCCATGAACAAGCAGAAAACTGCAAGCTTCAGCGGCTTATTTGAGAAAGGCCACGTTGTATTTCCTGCGCCATCAAACCTAAGGCTGAGCTACAGGGGTCTTACATGCCACATCAAGTCATTGCACCTTTAAGGGAACCCCTTTATAACTGGCCATAACACTGCAATGGTTGATCCTTCCCAAAGGGGGAAGGGAGAGCACTGCAACCTGACGCGGGCTGGAAGCACGGGAAGGGGCGGGAAGCACCGAAACCGCCGATCCAAGCCCAGCAGGGGCGGGCGGGAAAAGAGAGACAGACGACCCCAGCAGGCAGGCAACCAGGCGGCGAGAAGCAGACGGCCAAAACCCCGGAGGGACAAGGACGCGCCCAAGCAAACCGCCAAGGAAGGACCCACAGGGCAGAGCCAAGCAGAGAGACCCCGAGCCGGCCGGGGGCCAACGGAGGACGGCGCGAGGAGGGAAAAAGGACGCGCCGCCAAGGCCCGGAGGCCGGAGAAAACGCGAGGCGGCGGAGCCGAGAGCAAAGCCGAAAGCGGCAAAGACACGACGAGAGACAGAGAGGAACCAAGCGAGGACAGCCGCAGGAGCCGCCAAACCCCGCAGGGACAGGCGAGGCACCGGGCGCAAAGCCAAGGCAGAGACAAGGCAGGGAGACGGAGGAAAGAAAGCCACGACCCCACAGAGCCGAGACAACGAAGGAAACGAGACGGCTCAAACCCGAGAGGGACAGAGCAGACCCAGGCACGAACCGCGTGCAGACCCGCGGCAAAACCGAGGCCGGCACGCAAAACACAGAAGCGACACCGAAGAGACCTTCAGCCCGGGGCATCACCACCTGGCGGACCAGGGTGGCCCCCCCAGGCGCGCCGACGCACCCGACTCACGACATCCGCACGCCGAATGGAGCCCATGACCTCGAGCGACAGGGAAGGACCAGCCAAGCCGGCGAGCCAAAGGACAGGCGGGGGCCGGCGGGCGGAAGAACAATATGCATGGGGAGGTTATCTGAAAACCCAACTACAAGGATCTTGGGATTGTCTCTACACCCTGGGCTGTAAGCCTGTGAGCCCTCTGGGAAATCACGGCAATGCCCACACAAAGCCCTATGATGTTTGGGTTCCCCAAACATAACCTACGGAGTATCTGACCCCAACAATGCACATCCAACGTTGTGGGTATGATACGGTGGATGCCCTACATATTGCGAGTAGGGCACAAGAGAAACACTGTAAGTTCCCATGGTTTGTGGTTGGTTTACTTGTATTGAGTTTGCCTCCACCGCAACTACTCGGATACGGAAGCCCTTACAAACCTCCAGGCTTCAGGGGCAGAGAAAACATGGAGGGTCCCCCAATTCCATTGATCTAGTCTTCCCCATAAAGGGACAATGGAGCCATATGGAGATCTCCAGGGCTCACCCTCACCCGAGTCCGGAAGGATCCGAGGACTCCCCTCTCGCGACCAGGCGTCTCCGCACGTGCGCCAGTCCCCAGAACTCGGACCAGGCGTAGCACAAGATCCACAAAGGCCACACCAGGGACCGCTGCCCAGCCTCCAGAAGTATCCTTAGCCCCCAATTGGTCGTGGTTGATTGGTTTGGGGGTTGGGATGTGAACCCCTGGTTCTTGAAGTTGAACGTGCCGAACCACTTCGCTCCGAACCGATCAAAGGGAAGCTGGACAAAACGCGCGTCCGGGTCGATAAGCCGATCAAAATGTCTCGAATAGCCCAAGTACACAAAAGGAACATCTTGCAATGTGGCACGGGTTGGAGTAACTTGAATGGTGCATTGCATTAGCTCAGTTTCTGTTTAAGTCATAGGGTGCAGGTGGAAAGCTGTCAACGGAGTCTACAGACTCTTTCTTAGCAAGCGCGCACAGGCTTTCGTGGATGAAGCCACTTTTGCCGAGCCAGGACCAACGATTTGAATCTTTCTCACCTGTGGTCTCGGTTTAAGTTTCCTGGGGAGAAAAAAACATATGTCCAGTAGTGGTCACTTCCTTTTCGGACCAACAGCGGAAAATAAAGCATATTCTTAAGCAAATGAAACAAGGTAAGCAGCCACTGGATCGCCCCGCCACCAGCCCAAGGATTCATTGCCCAACTTTGGCTTGTGGCGGGCGAGCCGATGGCCACATTCACTTGGCTTCTGGACGGTGAACAGTTCACAACGAGAGCATGACAGACACACAAGGGGCTAACTTGGCGACTAAGTTTTCCCACAGTTCCACTTCCCCCGTTTTCCCCAAAGCTCCAAGAAACGAACCAAACAAAACAAGAAAGGAACCGGCACCCCCCCCAACCACGGTTTTTGGACAGTTGGGACTTCGGACATGGAAAAATTGATTTCTTCCAGGGGGGTGGAAGTCCAACTTCCAACCACTGGTTTTTGGAGCTGAACCTCCGAGTTCTACCGCTACCGGGAGTTCTTGGGGGGGGTGGACGTAAGTTGGATGACCAAAGCTCCAGAGCAGCAGCAGCGCGGAGGCGCTGGTGGCCACCCACAGCTCCAGCAGCATGGAGGCCGGGGCCCGGTTCACTCGCCGCATCGCCTGGGAGATGAAGGCGAAGCGCTGGAGCTGCAGCAGGCAGAAGCGGTTGTTCACGTACCTCAGTGCCGAACACCGGAAGACCGAAATCTTAACCTTAGCCTCAGTGAACTTTTAGGAGCAGGGGGTGCTATTGGAACTAATTCTGGGAGAACTGGGAGACCCTTTGAACGTGTGGATTCATATGTCCACCAAATTAGCGGGCTGGTGGTGCCCTACTGTGCAGCTTCCATTTGAGCTCATTTGCTGAAGTCCACTGGGAAACATGAAAATACGTCCAGTAGTGATAGATTCTTAAGCAAATGGAAGTCAAGACTGTGGATGGTGGCGAAATCCATAAACCACCACGAAAGCGAACCATGCTGGAAACCATAACGTTGGTTGGCAATACAGGGGATTCATCATTCTAGGGTTTCTTAGGTGGTGCAGGATTTCGTCCATCCACAGTTTTAAAGAAACACAACGAGTCTATGTGGGTACGGGATGATTTCATGAGGGAAATTGTGCCATATTTCCAAGTGCTGAACAGGTCTGAGTCCTGTGGTAACAGAGCAGCAAACACCATTCTGAAACCAAGCATTTTTCTGCAGGTGAAACCATTTTTGACACCAAGTTTGACGGAACTCTTTGTGACCTGCCCCGTGAAACAGGGACCCTGGAGTATTTCTTTGGCCCGTTCCGGCGTCTTCCTTTTTTTCTGGTGCCAGGTACGTGCGCATGCTAAGCACCAGGAAGCTGCGCAAGAAGGAACTGAAGAGGACGCAGGCCTCAGCACTGTCCACGGTACCGCGAAGGGTTTATTGCATTCCTGCGCAGCTTTCAGATCTCCTGCTAAAAGTTTAGCTTCTAGTGGGTTAAAAGGAAACTCCCGCGAAACCCTCAAAGCCTAAAACACCTCGGGACATGGTTTGAAACACCAAACTGTTGTTTCATTCTTGTCAAAACC